TTCTGGGCATTCTGATGAAATCTGACTACAGACTGGGCTTTCCTTTTTACTGGAGGAAAGATGATGCATTCACAGCAGTAAATTCAACATTTCTGCCTCTATGGTTAATTAACCATAACGTAGAAGTAGCACAGCAAGTAGCGAGAATGTTTATAGGCAAGGAAGGGATTAAGAAAGGAAGATTAAAAAAAAGGGGGGGGCCTAAGTTTAAGCAGAATTCAGAGCAAAAGGAGTAATAACCATGAGCTTTCAAATATCAAAGCCACGTAAACATTAGTTGGAGGTAGAAATCACTTTAATGTAGAACAGGAGGATTTATTAGGAGGTATTAACACATTTTTATCATGGTTGTTTCATGCTATAAGTTTCATCAAAGTACAAAATAAAGATGGATCTGTGTCCAGAAAGATTTTACAATTTTTCTTGATGCCGCAACTGAAAATTGATGGCATATGGGCAAACTTGTAAACAGGGGAAGGGAAAGCTTTTTTTATTTACCTAAAATACCCATGCAGCTTTCTCCCTGCTATGGCACAGAGACATGAACATCTTTAAAATTCTGTGTTAAAACCATTGGTTTTTTACAGGTAAGTATATATGATTTGAATGTCTCGCAATTCATTTATCTTCAGAAGCATGAGCAAGACAGGTTTTGTGGGCAGAGGCCACATCTTTTCCAACTGCATTAATTGGTTTAATAAAACATCTAGAAAACTTTTTCTTGCTACTTAGAGCATGGCTGAAATAAATCAGTAATGTACTTTGCTTTTGTAATTTTTGTTTAATACTATTTTGAGATTATTTGGCCTTGCCTCAGGAGATTCATTTGATAACTTACTTTAGCTGTTCCATTTTAGCAGTAATTCCCCAGCTTCTGCACTGTTAATTAGTAGATAAGTTTAGCTATCTAAGGCAGCAATCAGTAAGCAAGCACTTCGCGTAAGACTGAATATTTCAGGGTTTTCTCTTCTGGCCAGCTTAGGTCAGATATGATATTAGATAAAGTTTGCTATTCCTGTGACTGCATCTTTCCGTGTTCACAGAGTATCCAAATCCTCATTACAGATCAATTGGGCTGGTTTTGAGCCTTTTAGATTTAGGAACACAGGTTTAATGAAAAGAAAATGAGTGGGTAGCAATATCATTTCATATGGAGATAAGGAGAGACTGAGCATGAATGAGGATCTCAAGATGTCCGAATAAAGAATTTCCTCATTCTGTCAGGGGAGTTTTATGGGATATGGAGGGAGGATTATGGGAATATTCATGACCAGATCAAGAGGCATAATGAGTTGATGTATGAACCAGCTTATCTTTTAGGTAAACACAGGGTAAATGGGAAGTAGAATAGCCATTCATTGCCTCTAGGCCTGTGAATTTTACTGTTCTAAAGATGGAAACAAGGGCTTAGTTACAGTTATTCTTCATTGATTTAATTTGATTTTTGATCACTATTTAACAGGTGCTGGAAGAATTAGGTATTCGTAACCTTAGGTCTGCATTAAAAGTACCGAAGACCAGGTCATCTTTCTAGAATCCAGTGTAAACGATAGTATATGTTTAAACTTCGGCAGTACCATGTAAGAGCGTAGTACTTTAACAGCCTTCTGTGATACGGGAGCGTTGTATAACAGTGCTGGGATAGTTCAACCTGTTAAAAAATAATTTGCCAGCAAGCTGAATGCTTTTCATCTATGGCTTACTTGTATGTGGAAAAACACAGTATCACAAACCCTAGAAAGAGCATCAGGTCACCTTTGTCTATCCCTTAATTTACTTACACAGTAACTATTCTTATCTGAAACCCAGTTTGTGTTCTGGGTTTGGCATGTTGATAACTTTCTTCAAAACAAAATGTACTATAATTTACAAGCATAAGTCACAAATATTTTGATCGAGCTGTCACTCAAAACCCTGCAAATGTGGGTACACAGGTTGTGCATTTCAGAGGAGAGAACTTCCCCAAATAAAGACGGGTAACATCTCAGTCTTGAACTGTAGCAAATAATTGTTTTTCCGAATGCAATGTCACATGGTGCTGACGAAGCTATGGGCAGTTATCACAGAACCGCAGACCCTGCACTTGCACTCATCAGGAGCGTTCTGCCTGAGCATTTATATTTACTGGTTTATTAAGGTACGTGTTGTGTAAATGCCTAACTCTGCCATGAGCCTATTTAAAAGTAAAGCGATTGAGCAGACTGCTGCTCCTGTGCTACAGGATGGACTTGTGGGAAAGTGGTGCAGGTTGGCTGGGGTCTGCTGCTGCACAAGGCTTTGCCGCTGCGAAGAACACTGGGCATAGCATGAATAATTGCAGCTCTTTGGCAGTCATTGTAACTGCTCTTTTTTAAGAATAGCCAGCATGTTTTTTCAAAGAATTAAATTACCTCAAGACCTCATAACTATTACAGTTAAGCAATCATTTCAATTCGGTCAAAGCATAAAAATTAATAAAGTGCTCATAATATGGAGGCAATTTTAGTATGTCTGCGCTCTTGAGCAAACACAGCTGATTCAGTATATTCTGGTGGAATACATATTTGCTATCCTGTTATTTTAATATGCCCTAATCAGAAAATTAAAATAGATTTTGTTGGCACAAACCTTTTTTTAAGGGTGAAATAATTATAGATTTTTTGCTGATGGTATTAATTTTCAGTACTGGAATATTTCATTAGCAAGAGGTTCAGAAGGGAAAATATTTGCTAAATCTGCCTGCTTTCACTGAGTCTAATGGCTTGATCAATATAAAGAACATACTTGGGGAAAGCATGTAGCAATAAAAAAAATCCACATCAAAAATAAAGCTATTGAAAGCACAACATGAAGGGATATTTTGGGTCATGAGATCTAATCTCCAGTTGTCACTGGCAACTGCTGCTCATTTTGGAGAGCGAGGTCCAGGATTAATAATGCCAAAAAAATGCGTCAACTCTGTCCGAGATAATAGGACATTATTTCAAAGGCTAATTTTGTAAACATACATAAAGCATCAGTTTTGGAAGCTGAGCTAAATAGTTGCCTGAATAAATGCCATAGAATTAATGTTTTCATTACACAGGAGGTTTATATACTGACATACAAATAATACTTTTTTTTTTTAAATAGTAATGAAAACAATTTGAATGTGCATAGTAAGGAGAAGTGATCATGGGATTACTTTTTTTTTTAATTGGCAGCTTTCAAAAATTCTCTCTGAACTGAATCAAGGATATTTTGAATTTTTTTTTCCTGCGAGAAATCAGCTACTGGTGTTTTTTCTAAGATATTCCCTTCACACTGACTGTAATCTTCATTTAATATCAAAGTACTTTAAAAAAAAAAATCAGATGAAATTCAAGAAAGTTCTTTGGTTTTTTTAAGGACTCGGAGTGTGATTCAGCTTCACTGTACATCTGTGTTTGCAGATAAGCACCCTTTGGGGAAGGGGACGCTGAAGTGCTGAAAATATAAGTGGCTTGCACTTTGTCACCTAAGAATTGCATGATAAAGATAAAAGTTTGAGACTACTTCATCCTCATGCAGGCTATTTTCTGTATTTTATTTCTAATGCTAACTAAAGTTCTTTGCTTCTGTTAGAACAGGACTACACAGGGTTTTGTTGAGGCTTTATTATCAATATTACTATAATTACTCTAAAATGGATTTCATAACTCTCTGTGGGATTGACACTTTGTTACTGGATGAAACCTTTAGTTCCCTTAGCTACATTCTTAAGAGCATTCTCTTTGGAGGTCATTTTTCTTTTTTCCACTTATGCTTATGTATCCCACTTAAGGCCAATTGTTTTATTTTTTCTTTCTGTTTTGCTGTTATTTGAGCTCAGCAAAGCAAGTTTATAACATATGGTATTGCTAAAGAGCAGAAAACATTAATAAAATATTTATTAAAAAAGCTCAAACCTTGTATCTCGTACAAGGGAACATACGGCTTTAATCCAATAGTATTTTTAGCTTGAAAAAAATATTTGTCTGTGTTTATGCTCATCTAACTTATTTTTGTCTGTCCTACTGCTCTCCTCTGTTCCTTCATATTTCTGAAGTGTGTGTTTTTCATGGCTATAATCACACACAGAAGGAGCTTCAAATAAGGATGTGGTGAGAGAGAAGCAGGAAATCTCACAGGCTTTGGATTCCAGCTATGTTCTAAATCTTGCTTCATAAGCAATTTAATAAATCAAATAGGTCATATGATGACAAGGGTTGTATGGAATTGAGAAAAGAGTGGAAAAATGCCTAAACCCCTGAATTTTTCCGAATCAATGTTGCCTTTTCATTCTTAGTAACTATTTGTAGTTGTGTTCAAGTCATGTTTTTGTAGAGAAATAAACTCCCAGTTTTAGTGTTTGTATAAAATAAGATTCTGCCCACATCCATCTGGCTACTACTGAAATGCAAGGAAATCAAGTGTAAGTTTTAAATATTCTTAACATTGTGCATGCCCTTTTGAATAGGTGTCTTGAATACTGACGTTTGGTTCCCTGAAATTCTCCCTGCTGAAAGGGCACTGGCTTTCAATTCTTTTTAGAATGATTAGCAGTGTTTGTGACACTGTGGAAAGTAAGGATATTTGGTTAAAAGAGAAAGGGATTAGTGGGCATTATTTAAAAGATAACTCCCTACACATAACAGGTGTACAGTGGTTCTGCTGTGCGTGATATAATCGAAATTTCAGGTTTTTGAAATGCAGCATTTCTAGTATTGGGTTGCTTTGTTAAATTTTTGAATTATTAAATTAGCATGATAATCATAAAATTTATATCTAGAAGTTCTTCAAATTTCTTTTGATGGGTTTCATTTCTTCTGATGTAGAAAAATGTTCTAAATCTTCGTAGTTGAGAAACTTAAATGCATAGGGTAATATTGGCAACAGCATTAATTTTTGTTCATGTTTGCAGGTTTTTTGGCTTGGGTTTGTTTGATTGTTTGTTTTTCTTTCTGGGCATGTCCTCAATTTAGTAGTAGGTAATTGAATGGCGATCTTTTTAATTCCTCCAGAAAAAGTTCGGGAAATCCAGGAAAAACTTGAAGCCTTCATAGAAGCCCTCCATCAAGAAAAGTAGATTGTTCAAGCAGGTAATCATATTTAGATCATAAAAAGATTGCTACAGTTTTCTCATTGTTCAGTATAAAATGATTATCCATCTCTTTTAGATACACATGTTTTCATAGAGGCTTTGTGAAAATTCCTTTTTGTTTTATTCCAGTGCCTGGCTGCTGCTGCTTCTTGCTTCTAATCTGCAGAACTATGCTTTCAGCTTTTATGCTACAAGCAGATATGGAACTTAGTAGAAATACAATTACTGGCTAGTTATTCAGATATTGTGAAACACTGTAGGCTATTTGATTACTCTCAGTTCTTTATTTTTATCTGTGTTAAGAGAAAAAAGGCAGAACTACCTGGAATCAAAATTAAGGGAACGCTTTTCTTGCCTATAAAAGCATTTTGATTATTTTTATTTTTCCTCAAAGGTACTGTGTATTGTTAGCAAAATTATTTGCATGCAGGTAATTTCCAAATTTCTTCTATATGAATTCTCAAAAACATAAGCCTAAGTGCTCTCATATATTTGCACACATTTTAAAATAATCTCCTTTCTGTTTCAACAGCAACTTTACACAAGAATGCACCCTTTTTCAGGATACCTCGCACAAAGAAGACTGAATAGAAATGGCTTTTGTGTCCCATTCTTTCCTATCTTTTGGAGAGCATCCTGAAATTGTTGGAGGAGAAAGAAAATAATGTCTCATGGGATTGAGAAGTTCAGTTAAAATCCACCTGCTCTTTTAGAAGCTACATGTACATGACAGAAGAATCTGACTTGTGTGTCAATGAGATAGCCTGGGAGCTCGCTGAAGTTGTACATTTAAGGTTTGGGTTTTTTTCCTGAAAGGAAAAAAGCTTTTATTTTTGGCGTCTGTCTTGTATGGTAGGGCTGGAAGAGATTCATAAAATAATTTTTGTCTGTTGTCGTTTTCTTGCCTGCAAATGATCCTGGGATTTTGAGATAAGTTTTAGTATTCATATGTACCTTAAAACACCCTTCCAAGTAATGCCATTTGTATTTGTTATGCTCTGTGTTGAAGCATTCTTTGACCACTCTGGTACAGATTTAAAAGCATGGGTTTGAGATCTTGAGAGGAAGTTGTGGATTTTGTTAAACTCCCAAACTCGTGAGAGACATCATCCAAGCAATTCTTGCAGTGTTTTCAAGTGAAAGTACAGACCGCTATTCACTGACACCTTAAAAGGTTTGGCTCAGGAAATAATGTCAACAGCTGCTCCTTTTACCCATTCTTTCATAATATGTCATTACCCTGAAATCATAGCCGATTACATTTCATTTCTGGGATTGCACGGACTCTGATTTCCTTGTTAACGCCTCCCTTCACCATAGGTACAAATTAACCTGATCGAGTATGTGTGAAATGTAGAAAGATACTCTGTACAATTCCAGCTTGTCCAACCTCCTTGACTAAAAAAGGACAACTATAATTAATTTCATTTTTCTAATGGCTACTGTAAGACCAAAATCGCTTTTATAAGAATGTTATGCACAAGGTCCTTCCACACCCATTTTATTTCTATCATTTAGTGTACTAAAAATAGTAAGTAGTCTTTCTTTTACTGCCTTTCAGTTTTCCCACAGAAATGTCAATTCTGACAAATTTAAGCATGATACAGGCTCTGTATCCTATGTGCCTGGTGATTAATCACCACCATATATTTCTGTCCACACTTTGCAACCAACGATCTGGATACACTTCTGAGTACTTCTGTGAAAGAAGATATTAGGCCTGAAACAGTTTGTTTTGCAGTTGTCTGATTATGTATATTGAAAAATTGACATAGGTTTATTTTTCCCTTTTGAAAAGGCTATTGACTTTGACGTGTGGCAATTAAGAGAGGAACCTGAACATGTTCTGACAGATACTATTTCTGTTTGCTCTCAGAGCAAACAATGCAAAATTTAGTAAGATGTTCCCCAAATGTTCAGACATAAAATATTTAGTCAAGTGGACAAAAAGTTAATGTAGAGCTATTCATAAAGTGATGTTGAAAGGTTAAATATTTCAAGGTGATCTAACTGAATGTTTGGGGATTTTCTGTTTAAAATTACTTCCTGAAAATGAGTGTTTGAGAATGGAAGAATGAAAAAATGGCTTGTGTCATTATCATTCTCTGAAGATAACTTCAGAAATGTAACTTTGCACAATTCTGAAAGCAGAGTCCTTAGGTTGTATAGCAAGTGAAATAAGCCTGTACTTGTGTTAAATCCCTCTTTGTAAAAACAAAAAAACAAAAAAACCCCCAGAACAACAACAAAAAAAACACTTTTGCATTTACCTAGAGATCACTGTTTGAAACTGTGTAATGTAAATGTTGCATCCAGTGGCCCAGCTTTCATCGCTTTTAGTGTGATGTTCCTATAGTTTTAGTTCCGACTTCTCTGTGCTGCTCGCTCATCTAAGACTTAGCATGATGTATTCCGTGAAAACTAGGTATTTATTGGATAAAAATGTAACTGAAGGAATAATAAAATGTGGGTTTTGAACACAGTGCTGTTGCACTTAATTCAGAAGTCACTTGGGCCTTCTTTTTCTCATTTGTTAAATTGTGAAAAAGCATCCTGCTTATGGTATTAAAATGTCTGATTCAGAAATGCTGTGGTAGCGCCCTAGTTAGTGGTAACTCTACTAAGTGCTATCTTTTACTAGATAAATTAATTATTAGGTTACAATTTATGTAAGACATCTTTGTCTAGATGTATTGTGAAAAATCATTATGTTGAAAGCTTATCTCATTGGAAGTTTAGACAATGAACTGATACTCAAAGTATAAATGAAGACTGGTTATGGAGTGTTAGTTTCAGGTGCATTTAAAACAAACATGCTTATGGAACAATGGGTTTGAGAATTATAGAGCAGTCAGCTTACCAACCCATGAATTCAGGAATATATCTTTTTTCTTTCTTCTTCTTTTAGATGAAGAAAAAATTTACAAAATCAATTGGGAAAAAAATATTCACTGTAAACTGTGGTATTGAAGGTGCTGCATATTTGCTCCACAAAGCTTGAATTGCAGACATGGGCATGTTAGGATCAGTGAAGGATTATAACTCTACATTGACTTGATTTTATGATTAAACAGCTAAACAACAGGTGGTTTTATGCTGTTTTTTATAGGATTTTATGTTAAGGTTAGAGGAAAGAAGAGTTATGGCAAGTTGTGCTTATCTCACTAGTGAGTTAGCATCACTTAACAAAAGTAAAAAGAAGTGCTATTAGTTGGCCACTTCAGAATTGCTTCTTGTAAGGAATATCTTAACTGTAGTTATGTTAAGCAGCATAAAAAGGATGTGCTGACTGTAACAACAATTTTTAGACAGTAAACCTAATTATTTGAACTGTCTCTAAAATTCATGTGATACTGAAGTTGTGTTATTCCAAACTGTTTTGCACAAGTTCAGGATGTTTTTTCTGTATTACATATACTACCTTCAGATTCTGCATAAAGCAATTTATTGTAAGGAGCAAAGACTAATCTGTAATTTCTGTGTTTTTTTGAGATTAGGGAGGGGATCAACAAATGCAGATATAATTATTCCATAAATGGATATTTCATTTCCAAAGCATGTTCTTTACTGTCATGTCGATATGGTAAGATATTTCTTGGTTTTCATTAAATGAGAATTTATGAGCCAAGGTTTAAATATTAATGGCTAATATTTCTCTTGCTTCCTCACAAAAAAGGTACATATGGTGCTTTTTCAAATGTCAAGAGTTACTCCTTCTGAGTGGTTACTAGTAACCTCACCCTAAGTTATCAGGCCATGAGAGAGATGAAAAACTTAAAAATGTGCAAAAGTGTCAAAAACAAGTGTGATTAAGTTAGAGGGTGAAAATGGCAAGTGAAGGTCTGAGTTATTACAAACGTACTGGTGTGCTCTATTTCACCATCAAGGATATATTAAATCATTTTTGACTGAGTGTATTTTGAAACTAAACTGAGTTATGATGTATTTCCAATGCTAAAGTTTAGAGAAATTAATTTTCATATATCTTAAATGTAACCTAGTAACTCTTACCAGTTGTATTAAAAAAAGATGCAAGAGATGTCATCACTTCAGCTGAGAAATGTTGAAATATGGGATCTGTAAGTCTGACCCAGGGCCCCTTGAGTCATTTAGAACTCTTTGTTCTTGGTGGGATTTCGTCCTGGAGATGTCTGTGGAATATTTTCTATGTCAGTGAAGGTGCTGCTGTATGAACTCGGGCTGTGATGATACTTCTGTGTTTTTGCAGAGTTGAGCATGAGTTTTCTGTGGCTATTTGGAATGGGTTTCTAGGTCTTGAGGGGCTTTGAGGAAATGTTCCAGTCATGCTTCCTCACACAGATGGGGCATATAGTGCTTACGATTACTCAGATATTGGGGTACCTGACAAGAACTTAGCGTGTATGGCTATCTGAAAAAAGAGCAGCTAATAAATTAGCTTCCTGTATTTTCCTTTTACTTTCATTTCCTCAGGAAGCATCTGACTAGCGAACTCCATTGACTGGGAAGTAGAAACCTGCACATTTCCAAAGCCTGGAGAGAAAGTAGAGCTTTGACTACAGTTCTGATTACAAACTACCGTGCTAGCCTGAACTGCTGTATCTCCAGTTACTGCTGTTTTGTGTACAGACACGGTTCTTGATGCTTGATTTCCAGGCTAGGAGATGTTTTATGAACACTCACTGATCACATGCATAATGGAAATAAATATATTTCTCTGTAGGGCTTAATTGGCTTAAAGAAAAAAAAAAAAACAACCTACTTTCATCTTGATGTGAAGATTTCAAGCGATCTTAAATCTTGAAGCATTCTATCGCTTTACTTGACAGCATGCCCTTGCACTGACTTACCATGTCCAAGGTACTTGTTTGAAACTTTTTTTTATGTCAGTTTAGAGCTATTGGACCCTGTTCTATTTTGTAATTAGCTCAGTAATACATCTTCCCTTCCAGAAATCTTTACAGACCATGATCAACCACTTGCTAGTTTTTATTCAGTAAGATAAATGCATTGTAAAGTCCTTGCAAGATAGGCCCTATGTAGTCAGATAAAGCTGTAGTTAGTCAAAAGTGCTATAAGTTCTATATTGCTGTGATCACAGAACTTTTACAGAACAAGACTATTGTCAAGAATTTTTGTATAAAATACTATACAGAAACAAAAAGGAGAAGCTGAAAGGATACAGAGATTGTAATGATTGTTTATGCTGCAGTGCTGGAATGGAAAACCCATGCAGATTTCTGTGTACACAAATCTTGCTTGCATCTGCCATCACTTCAGTGCTGTAGCACATCACAAGCTAAAATTATCCAAGCTGTTGTTCTGTAAGAAATGCTAAAAATCACAAGCATGGCTTCAGTTTTCACTGTAGAATTGATTCCGGAAATAGTTCTGAAAGTGCTTCTGGGATGCTCGTGAAATATCTCTAGAAGCACTTCCAAAATTGAAATTACAAAATAAGTTTCTTGGGTTGGTTTCCATCAGTCACTGGGGAAATGTTTCCAGAAGTGTCTCTAGATGCAATTGTGGTGACAAGGCTGAAAGTTGAGTCTAGCAGCTATTGTAGTGTTTCTCGAATTAACTGTTGGTGTGATTCTAGCAGTGGTTCTGGAGAGGAATCCAAAAACGAGCCTGCCATTGGCTGTGGGACTGATTTTGAATTTGGCTGTAGGTGCTGTTCTAGAGCCAATTCCAGAAGTATTTCTAGCCCTTTCTGCTGAAAAGCTCTTTACTGTGCGTAGCTACAAATTGTTGTGTGTTTGCGTTGCAGAACACTAATAGAAGGCTGTTTATTTGCTGCTGTTGGAAGTCTGTAGGGTCTAAGATGGCTTCCAGAGCAGTGCGTCCTAACCTGTGTGGTGATTTCACACCCTGACTTTAAACAGATTTCTGAACTATCCTTGGTAGTGACAATCAATAAGACGAACTTTGTTCAAGTTTTCGCCCACAGGACAATGGTGAACCTTTTGAAGGTTAATCAGTGGTGCATTTTTTTAACACCTTGGATTATATTGTTCCTGATACAGGGGAAGATGTGAAGTTCAAAATAGA